GCGAGGTGGGGTGGTAAAACTGCCAACCAGGCGCGTCAGGGACAAAGCCAAGGAAGACACAGGGAACGTCGCGGGCGGAGAGCTTGTCCGCGGTGGTATCGCGGAGAAAGGCATGAGCACCCCAGACCCGGAAACGCGACGCATCGCCAACCTTCCCCATCCACAACAATGTGGGCGAGGTCTCCGGCAAGGAGACATGGGGCCAGAGGTTGAGCTGATGCGCGGCGTACCGGACCGCAAACGGCCACAGAAAATGGGGGGCAAACGCATGGATCATGGAGGTACGAGCAACCTCCATGACTAAGCCAATGCGGCGCTCAGCAACCCCATTCTGCTGCGGAGAGGCCGGAAGCGTGAACGTCTGGCGAATGCCGTGCTCCGCACAGTAGGCTGCCAAGAGGTCTGAGGAGAACTCACCACCTCTGTCAGAGTGCAGACGCAGGACAGGAAAGTCCGACTGGAACCGCTCGCGGAGCTGGAGACGAGTAGCGCGGATCCAGAGGATCAAAACATCAGGGACCTCCCCCTTGCTGCGCAAGGGGAAGACCGTGGTGTAACGCGTTTAGTCGTCGACGACCAGCAGGAAGTACCGCTCGTGGCCCTGTCCACGGACGCGGGCTGGGCCCCACACGTCCAGGTGGAGAGTCTGCAGGGGAGCCTCTGTGGGAGGGAACGAGGAGGAGTGAGGAGCGGCGCGCTGCCGCCCATCGACACAGGGAAGACAGGGAGGAGCAGGCGAGGGTGGTAGAGGAGGCAGAGTCTCTGGAAGTCCAGAGACAAGGAAACGGCTGTGCATGCTACGAAGGCGCTGCACCGAGGGGTGACCAAGGCGGTGGTGCCAAAGGAGGGTCTGGTGCGACAGAGCGCGACACGAGCAGGGGGCCGCTAGCTGACCTGACGCAAACGTAGACGCAGACGCAGCTACCTGAGGGGACACAGTGGTGAGTGTGTACAGACTCGAGCTAGGCTCTCGGGTGAACGTGGCCAGGTGCCGACCAGTCCGGGAACACGTACAGTGTGTCACACGCTGACCTCCAGGGGTGAACTGGTCAACCCACACATCCTGTAGGTCAGCTCCACTCACCAAGTTCGTAGAGAACGAGGGGAGGTGAAGACCTGACAGGGAGCCAGACGGGACCGCCGGACACGGCAGGACCGTGGAGGAGTGCGCAAGGACTGGACCCCCAGAGGGGTCTGCCAGGGAGACTGCAACCGGCCGACGGAGCGGCGTGAGTGTGGTGCTGTCGCGGAAGAAGGAGCGGGAAGCACCTGAGTCAAGTGTGAAGGTGTACACGGCCTCAGCAGGCGCAGTACCAGAGAGAGCAGACTCACCAGCACCTGGAGCAGCAGCCTCACCAGTACCAAGAGCAGGAGACGCACTCGCACCTAGAGCAGCAGCCTCACCAGCACCTAGAGCAGCAGGCTCTATACCTGGGTCAGGCGGTACGCACAGGGAACAGGCACGGTCAGCACTAGTAGGCAATGCATACATGGCAGTGAGAATAGCATCATAGTCAAGAGCAAAGATATCTACCCTCTGTCCAAGCAGCTCCAGCCAGGAGGGGAGCTCAGCCTCGTCGCCAAACTCGGTACGCCAGGCGTCGCTCAGACGGGCGAAGCGGTGGGACTGTGTGTGACCAAGCGTCCCGCAAGGCTGACCGACCCGATCACCTGTGCGAATGACGTACGGGCAGCGAACGGTACTCAAAGACCCTCTACTCTGAGCGTACCACTCGTGAAGCTGCTGGGACGTAAGTGTCTCGCGTGGACGCCGCTGCAGCTGCAGCTGGCCACTGCCAGTCTCTCCCAACTGACCAGCTCCAGGGCGACAGCTACGACGGCGACCGCCACAACCCCAACTAGCGTACCACTCACTAAGCTGCTGGGGCGTGAGAGACTCGCGTGAACGTCGCTGGAGCTGCATTTGGCCACCGCCAGTAGCAGCAGTAGCAGCAGCAGCAGCAGCAGCAGCAGCAGTCTAGCAGTAGTAGTAGCGCAGGCAGGGCAGGCGCGGCAGGCAGGCAGGTAAGTGCTCACCAGTGGCGAGAAGGGCAGGCTCACAACGGCGGCGACGGCGGGGCCGCGACAGCTGCGGCAGAGCAGGACCGCGTCGGAGGAAGGGCAGGTCCGCGACAGCTGCTGCAGGGCGCGGACGTGACGGCGGCAGAAGGCTCCACGGCAGCTGCTGCAGGGCAGGGTCGCGACGGGTGCAGGAGGCTCCGCGGCAGGTGCTGCAGGGCGGGGCCGCGACTGCGGCAGGGCGCTCCGTGGCAGCTGCTGCAGGAGCGACGGCGGCGTCCAGGGGCAGCCGCGGCGCGCGGGGCTGCAGCGCGCCACGCGAGCTGCAAACGCGGCGCGCGAAGCCGCCGCGGGCTGCGCAAGGACGGCAGCCGCGGCGCGCGGGGCTGCAGCGCGACGCGCGGGCAGCGAACGCGACGCGCGGCGCTGCAGCGCGACGCGCGGGCAGCAGCGCGACGCGCGGGCTGTGGGCGCGACGCGCGGGGCTGCAGCGCGACGCGCGGGCTGTGGGCGCGACGCGCGGGGCAGCGAACTGGCGGGGCGGCGCCCTGGCCTAACGGGCCTGCAGGGGCGGCGCGCAGGCCTGACGTGTCTGCAGGCGCGGCGCGTGAGCCTTACGGGCCTGCAGGGGCGGCGCTCTGGCCTAGGGCAGCAGTGGGCAGTACGAGGGCTGCAGGACGGCGCGCGCAGCGCAGCACGTCACAAGGCAAGGCAGGCAGGCAGGACAACACGTGGGGTAACACGGTAACAGCAACGGTAGGTGGGCCCGAAAAAAAAACGGTCCTACGGACCTAGTGCTCTGAAACCATGTCAGAATCAAGCAGCATGAATGGATGAACTATGAAAGAGTTGGGTACAAGTATGAAACCCTAAAAGGGGCTGTACCCCATATTGGCTACCCCACTACAGCCTACATATGTATAACATGCATATACTTTGACACTGTGCAGAGTCGCAATACATCGATCGATTGGGACATGCAGACCCGAGACATTTGAGGGCGACTCGGGCCAAATGTGATTGGGACACTTTCTTTGAGCAAGTGTCCACAGCGGAATGTACCCTTAACTATATCGTTTCAGATTGATCGCACTAGTGTGAAGCGGTTGATGCTTGTGATTGGTTGCGGGTCCCATACCCTTTACATTACAACCCAATTTAGCCTGACAATGTACACCTACGAATATATAAGTGTGCATTGACAGTCTGGAGCATCTGTCAAGACATGGGCTCCGCTGTCCGGCATTTCGCAAATCATATACGCCAGACTTTCGGAAAAATGATTAGGGTCCATGACTGTTTGAGGTTAGCATGCTACGTAGCTTGCTATGATAGTAAATTGTACTGTATGTTAATGTATGCATATATAGGTTTCAAGAGCCTACCTCGGTTACGTTGCACTTGCCCCACCTCCATGCCCAACAATGTCAATGCGTATCTACTCTGTCCCTTTCATTGTTCTAGGCTGTGACACACACATACCGTGCTTGTGGGGAGAACTTGACGGTATCTGTCAAATGGTTTGATTGTGAGAACCTTGCTTGGAAGTGGAACCCGCTTTAATTGAAAACAAGGCACCCTTGTTATCATCCTTTCATGTTTTTGAACTATCAGTGTATTGGTATACAGAGGTATCTGCCATCAAAAGTGGGGGGCACTGTGGATGTGCGCCAGGCTGTCCAGCTTTGCCAGGCTGGTGAAGCAGAAAGCCATCACACAAGCCTCGTGCTCAGGTCTGTTACGACTGGCTGACACCTCCAAGGACGACGATGAGAGGAGAAAATAATGTCTACCCTGGCATCGATTAGATACGGAGGAAGCTTCTCTGCTAATTTCGTATTGTTGGTACCTCTGTACGGCAAATTCTTTTGCTTCATGGTTCAAACAATGTAAAAGGCTGCAGATGACAGGGTGAGACAGGCATAGACACTGGTGACTGAAATATGATATCCAAATATGCGTAACATGCCCTTTAGACAAGAAGTCTTTATGCGGTTTGACCACAAAGATAATAATATTCATGTATTGTTTTGCCTGGTGGGAAGGCACAAAACTTCATGCTTTTTTTTAGGTGGTTGGTTCTGAGAATGCTTGGCTGAATAAAGCGACTTGCAGATTCTGTTCGTTTGAACAGAATCCACGACCGAGCCTCCAACTACAGCACATGATGTGTGAATATACGCGATTGGTCGAAGGTGACACATGGACACATTTCGCTGGCGTAGCTTCCCCTGCCAGCTCCCGACTTTGCATCGCTGGATGAAATGATGAGGGTTGCCTTTTCGATGTCATGTTGGCGGTTCATGTGGTTGGACGAGTCGTTGATCCGTTCCGTCCCTACCCAAACGCTGCTGACTCCGAGGCACTCTCAGCAAGGCCGGTCGCGCGCGGCGGTTGCGGTTTGGTCCTCCTTTTCCGCATGCGGGCTGTGGCACCGCCCCCAGTGAGGCAAGGTCGTCCGCTACCACGCATGGTGGCGGAACCTCCCGGTTTCCCCCTGGCCCCTTCCCCTTCCGCCATCCCATCTCATCTCTCTCCCCATCCCTCATCCAACCAAGTCACACAACACCGGTTCGAGGGAATGAAGTGAATCGTTGGGTTGGGACGAGTGTGGTTCCGCCGTGTCCTCTTATCCGCGGCAGCTGGAGGGACGTCGCTCAGAACGATGGGGGTCTGTAAAATACTAGGCTGCCCTCACTTTTCCGCGTGAATCGTAGCTGCCACATCATCACTGCCCGCGTGAATCCCCAGTTTGCTTGCCATTCCGCCAGTAAGGGAAAAGCAAGGGAACTGCTTTCTCGCCCAGGTTTATTCTGGAGCACGTGCTGCTAGTTCTTGAGTCTGTTACTGACTGACGACGTTTAGCTTCTTTTACGAAGGCAAACAGCAGCAGACACAACTCAGCAACAGAACCAGGCCAAGTTATCAGCTGAGCACTAGCTGATCAAACCTAATCTGTCACTTGCTCTTGGTTGTCAACCATGTGTCAGCCTAAGTTTCTCCCAGAGCCAGAGGCTCCTCTCGTGGGTTATGGAAGCAGGGTAAGCTTCACGTTGCACGGCTAAGTCCGTTCCGATTGCTGTGCTCCGAGGCTCCTGGTCTGACAAACCTATCCGCTTGTGCAGGTCCGGCTTCCGACGGGCAACCGCTCGCGAACCATTTCCCTGCAAGAGCTCATGGAGCATTTTCACCTTCCGATAAACGAAGCTGCTTGCAAGGTACACACATTCATGGCATCTATTTCCGTTTGTTATAATTTGTGGCTGGTGCTGATCCCTTTCCTTAGTTTTTTTTTTCCATTTTCCTTTCCAGTTGGGCGTTTGTGTCACCGTCTTGAAGCAGCAATGTCGTGAACACGGCATCCAGAGGTGGCCGTTTCGGAAGGTTCGCAAGCTAGACAACATGATTCACGCTTTAGAAAATTCCACACCGCCCGAGCGACTGCGGCCGTTCGCGCTTACGAACGGAGAAGAAGAGGTGAGAGACGCTAGGCGCTCTACCCATGCCGTTTGTGTTCTTGATGTTGTTGAGACGTTCATTCTGCTTTTCAACGCTCGCTCACAGGACAACAATCTGTTCGCAATATTTATTTTCCTTGCAGAGAAAACGGAAGATCGATACTGTGAAGGGAGCGCTTTGTCAGCTTCTTGTAGACCCAAACTCGGCAGCTCACCTGAAGATAGGAAAGCTCAAGGGCACCAAATTAAAGGATGCTGGTACAACAGACTGCCCATCAGCCGTTTCTCCATCATCATCGCACGAAATGTCTTCCTGTCAAGCAAAATCTGCCAGGAGCGAAGCGGAGGTGTTGGCGAAGCCAATCGCATTTTATGGCTTCGAGAAGAGTACTGAAGAGAACGTGCTCGAGTCAGGGATGGATCAAGGACCGGTCGAGCTTGATCTGCTCTCCCGTGTGGGTTGCAACGAAGAATCGGAAAACGTGAGCGCGAGCAAGACCAGCAGCGCAAATGCTATTTCAGGAATTACTGACGCCCCAGCAGCAACAACGCCAGGCATTTCTTCAACTCAAGGCCATCATGAATCTGTGGTACAGCTGCTTCAATCATACGTGACTGGTCAGCCTGCTTTGAAAAGACCAAGGGTTGCTTCTGTCGAACCTACTGTTACTCTGCCAGTAGTAGCCAGAGATTTTCAGGCTGCTCCAGTTCCTACGATGCCATTAAGCTCCTGGCCGCTCATCCAGTAGCCTTCAATCCTGCGGTGACTGGTTTCATGGCCTGCAGACCTTGTCCCCCTCGTGTTTCCCTATTCTAGAGTTTCTTTGCTACTGCTTTTGACCACATGACTAGCCGGTGGTCTCTATCCCCTTCTAATAAATATGGAGGTGTGCACTGTTGTTTGTGCTTGTATATGGATCTTGAACAAAGAAGTTAGCTTGTTGAATGCTTCATGACTAAAGATTTCGATACGGAAATAGTTGGAAGTTGCAACATGAATATTCAAGGTTTTGAGAAGTTTCCCAGTTGTACAGTGGGTTGCAATGCGGTGCCGAACTAAATGGTGTATTGATTTCAGGCAAGAAGCCATTCTCCCATGCGAGTGTGAAGTGAATCTGCCTGCTTGGCTATCTGCTAGATTTGCTCGCCGCTGCTGATCATGCAGCCCTGGCCTGGCCAAAGTGCAGCAAACAAGCATCGATTTCGCCGCGCGCCGCAGATCGACAGTCAGTTCCGCACGGACAGAGGAATTAAAACAGCTAGAGCTAATGATAATCGTCAGACTAGACAGACCATCACTGTTGAGCACCTTGGGAATTCGGTTCGGGGCGAATTCGAACTACTGAGACCAGGCCGCCAGGGAATGCAACAGCAAGTTTATCGAATGGAGCTGCGGCAGTCTAGATTAAATTGCGATAGTTTTCGAGTATAGCAGCGATGCGGACTGTCCGACTCCGTGACCAGGCACGGTAGGTTCGCCTACCGCTTACGAACAAAGGATCGGTTCGGAAGCCATTCCCGCCGAGATGATGTACGCAGGATCCCACGCGTCCTCTGGTCCACCGCGTCATCCACTTCCCGTCCCCTCATCGTCTCCGTCTCCGTCAGGATCGACGGCATCGGCGGGCGATGGCCGGTTCGTCCCGAACCCGTTCCAGTACAATGCGCGCGTGGCGTCAGCGCTGGTACCGTGCGTGCTGGTGCTGCTGGGCGCGGGAGGGCCGATCGTCGTCGGCACGCTGGTGGCAGGGCTCATGCTCTCGTACGTGCTCGACGCGCTGCAGCTCAAAACCGCCGCGTTCGTCGCCATCTGGACGGCCTTCTTCTCCACCGCCGCCGCCATCGCGTTCTCCGGAGTCGGCTTCGCGCCGCACGTGCCGGTGCCGCTCTCTCTGCTGGTGCTGCTCTCCTCCGTGAACCTCGTGTTCCTGTGCGGCGTGTGGGTGTCGCTGCAGTTCCGATGGCTACATCTCGAGCACCCCTTCGTCGTCCTCACGCTCGAGCGACTCCTCTTCGCCTGCACGCCCATTACCGCCGTCGCCATAGTCACCTGGGGGCTAGTCGCGTCTTTGGGGATCGTGTACGCGCCTTATTACCTCGTGCCCGTGCTCTTCGCGCTCTTCTGGCTCTTCTCCCTCCCCGCTCCCTCCTCCTTCCGCGCTGCGAAGCACCATCCGCGGCTCCGCGGGAAGGAATCCGACGACGTGTTCATTCTCGGGTCGCTGGAGAGCGCGATTCACGCGGGCGTGCTGCTGTTCCTGCCGTTGGGCTTCCACGTGGCGGTGCATCGCAACCGTTGGATGGAGTCAGCGAGTGACATCTGCGACGATCTGCTGCTCTTCTTCCTGCCTGTGCTCTTCCTGCTCGTCGCGTCCACCCGTGGCGCGCTGCACTGGCTCGTCCGCGACCACTCCAAGCTGCAACACGTGCGTAGCACGTGGATGAGACGTGGGAGGGGATGTAGGCACGTGGGAGGGACGTGCAAGGGACGTGCGAGGGGCATGGGTGCAGGGGTCGTGAGGGGAGTGTGAAGGGGCTGAAGTGCTTGCTTGTTTGATGGGGGGCGGATGGCTGGTAGGGGTCTGGTCTGGATGCACTGCCTCCCAGCGCTCTGGTCTGCATCCCGTCCACTTGGCTGCCCCGCGCTTTTCCAGATACCAACGTCTTTTGCTCTCCCCATCACTCTCCCCTTCCTGCCACCCTTCCTGCCCCACCACCTGTTGCCCCTCCTGCTCCCCTCCCTGCTCCCCCTCCTCCCCCTCATGCTCCCTATCCTACTCCCCCTCCTGCCCCCCCTCCTTCCCTCTCCTGTCCCCCCGCCTGCCCTCCACACTGCCCCCCCAGGTGAGCTTGGTGAACGGGGCATTCGCACTGGCAGTGGTGCTGGTGTGCGGGGAGGTGCAGGTCATATTCCCGTCCTTCGCGCACTACATCCACTTCCCGCCGCCCCTCAACTACCTCCTCGTCACCCTCGCCCTCTTCGGCCTCGCCTTTGGCTTCGCCGCACACCTGCTGGGGCTCGTGACAGGGCTTGTGGGCACGTCCGTGCTCATGACTGTGCTGCTCGTCTCTGCTGTAGCTGGGTCTCTCGTGCTCGGCATGCCCCTCACTGTGAGTCTCTGAGTTTGAGGCGTCTGGGCCGCATTACAAGCCTTGTGTGCCTGTAGATTTTCTGCTTCGCTACTCCTCACCCAGTAGTCCGTCTCTCACTCTCGCTCCTCACTCCATCCCCTGAAACCCACCCTCTCCCCTACCCTTTCATTCCATCTCCAGAGACCCCCCTCTGACTGACTATATCTCCCCAACCCCATCCCAATCCACATCTCCCCCCCCACCAGATGCTCCCCGCACCCGCCATAGCAGCAGTGTACCTCGCCCACTTCCACTCCTCCCGTTCCCTCACCTCCTACCTCATATTCGCAGCAGCAGCAGCCATCGCAGCCACCTGGTTCGTTCTCGACCATTTCTTCTTCCTCGCCCTCTCCGTCGCCGGCGTGCCTCTGCGCTCCATCTGCCAGGGGATGCTCGCCGCGCTGCTGCTCGCGCTGCTCGTGCCGGCTGCCACGCTGCTGCATCGGCCCCAGACGATTGCAGGGGTGCTGGTGGTGCTGCAGGCGCTGCTGTTCGCGTGGTGAGTGCATGTGTGGAGTCTGAAAGGCTCGTTGCTGTCAGCCCTGGGTGAACAGTAAAGACTGTAAGCACCTCGCACTGCAACTCGCTCCTCTGAATGTCTGCCTGCTCCCAACTGGTCCTGTTTTTCCTCGCCTCATCCGGATCAACGCTTCCGCCTACCAGGTCCCCGGCCCACACCATCATCGCCCCCTCAAGCACCCTCCGCGTCCACACCCCCCTTTGCCTGCCTCCCCTTTTGCCTGCCTCCCCCCTTTGCTTGCTTTCCCCCAGGCTGGAGAGCCTGCTGTACAACGGGGACGGGCGGGCGGAGGAGGGCGTGTATCCGAGCTTCCTGGTGGTAACCACCACAGTGGCAGGGCTGGCAGCGGTGCAGCGGTTACACGTGGAGCACAAGATAGGCGCGGTGGCGGAGTGGGTGGCCTCGTGCGTGTACCTGGCCAAGCTGCCCATGCTCGCTGTCTCCTCGCCTGGTGCCACCCTCTCCTCCCTGCTGCTGCTGCTTGCTGTCACCCCGCCTTTTTTCCTCTACCGGTGAGTTGGAGGTATGCTTGTGTTGCAACTGTGAGTGGGCATTCTTAAAAGGATTGGCTAAGCTGCCCGTGCTCGCTGTGTCATCCCCTGGTGCCACACTCTCCTCCCTGTTGCTTCTGCTTGCAGTCACCCCGCCCTTCTTCCTTTACCGGTGAGTAGGGGCTGTTCTTGTGTCATTCCTGCCTCCCGCTGTCTCCTCCCTCGTCGCCTCCCTCCTCTCCTGCCTTGCATATCCCCTCTCTCACTCGCATGCAGCAGGGATCAACTCACTGCATGCTTTTCACTCCTTGATAAAAGCACCACGCCAAACTCCCCTTCCCTGTCCCCCCCTCGCAGGGACAAGGCCCATGCGCGCTCGCGCATGCGCCCGGGAATGGCGGTGGTGCATGCAGCAGCGGCAGTGGCAGCAGTGGTGCATGCGCGCTTCATGCTCTTCGACATTGCCGTCTCTCTCACCGGTCACCGCCCCTCCCACGCTCTGCTCATCGGCGCTCTGTTGCTCGCTGCCATCGCTGCCTGCCTGCCCATCCTCCTCCTCCACTTCCCGCATTCCATGGTGAGTTGTGTTGTGAATGCACCACACATGCTCTGCTGCACGTTCTCTGAATTCACCTACACATCGCCCTCTCACCTGTGTTCAGTACCCTTGGCCCCATGGCTCTGCCCCTCACATCACCTTTTCCCGCCTCCCCGCCTCTACCCCCGCCACCCCCCCCAGTCCGCAAGGCGAGCAGCAGCGCTGGCAGCAGCGGGAGCAGCGCTCTTCATGTGCCTGCAACCACCGCTCCCCCCCGCATGGCGCACTCTCTGGGACTCGGCCCATTTCCCCGACGAGGACGACCCCGACGACTCCACCATCTACGCCCTCCCCACGCACGGCCCCCTCTGGCCCGCCTGGCTCCTCCTCTCCCTCATCCTCTCCGGCCTAGCCACTTTTCTCCGCGCGATTCCCATAGGGGAGGTGGAGGCAGCGCGGGTGGGGTATGCGGTGGGAATGGGTGTAGCCACGGGGGTGTCTCTACAGGCGGAGTTTTTCCTCTTCCTGCCGCTGCTCCCGCGGGCGCTGCTCTTCCTGGCGGCCATAGCAGGGGCGCTGTTTCTCGTGCTTTCCCACCGACCACCGGCCTGGATCCCCCCCCACTCGCCGCTGCTGCCAGGGCTGTTTGCGCTGCAGGCAGCGCTGCTGCCGCTGACGTACCTGGCGGTTGGGAGGGCGGCACTGGTGGAGGTGCATGGGGAGGGGGAGGCGGGCCAGGAGTATGACTTGTATGACGACACGCGGCGACAGGTGAGGGGCTGGTTGGTGGGGGGATGGGTCGGTACAATCGTGGGATTGCTCGTTGTGGGACAGGAGTTTCCTGTTTACTATACCACCATTGCTAAGGGCGTATTCCAGCCTGGTGGCAAGGCAACTGTTGAAGGCATCCGAAATTCTTGAAGATGTTCTGACATGCACATAGGCATGTACTGGCATGCACATAGGCATGTACTGGCATGCACATAGGCATGTACTGGCATGCACATAGGCATGTACTGGCATGCACATAGGCATGTACTGGCATGCACATAGGCATATACTGGCATGCACAAGGCATGTACTGGCGTGCACATAGGCATGTATGGAAACATCAGAGGCGTGTTCCCGTGTTTGGGGGTGATTGGGGAGGTTTGGGGACGTTTGGGGACACCGGTGTCCCTGGGCAGTGTCCCCAAGAACACTGGTGTCCCCTGGGGGTGTCCCTTGGCACACTGGCTAGGGACACCGGTAGGACAGAGAAACCGGGAAACTGGGAAACCGGAAAACCAGAAAACCGGGAAACCGGGAAACCGAGAAACCGGGAAACCGAGAAACCGGGAAACGGGGAAACCGGGAAACGGGGAAACGGGGAAACCGGGAAACCGGGATACCGGGATACCGGGAAACCGGGAAACCGGGATTCCGGGATTCCGGGATTCCGGGGAACCGGGATTCCGGGGAACCGGGGAACCGGGGAACCGGGGAATCCGGGAATCCGGGAATCCGGGAATCCGGGGAACCGGGGAACCGGGGAACCGGGGAACCGGGGAACCGGGGAACCGGGGAACCGGGGGAACGGGGAAACCGGGGAACCGGGGAACCGGGGAACCGGGGAACCGGGGGAAACCGGGGAACCGGGGAACCGGGGAACCGGGGAACCGGGGAACCGGGGAACCGGGGAACCGGGGAACCGGGGAACCGGGGAACCGGGGAACCGGGGAACCGGGAAACCGGGGAACCGGGGAACCGGGGAACCGGGGAACCGGGGAACCGGGGAACCGGGGAACCGGGGAACCGGGGAACCGGGGAACCGGGGAACCGGGGAACCGGGGAACCGGGGAACCGGGGAACCGGGGAACCGGGGAACCGGGGAACCGGGGAACCGGGGAACCGGGGAACCGGGGAACCGGGGAACCGGGGAACCGGGGAACCGGGGAACCGGGGAACCGGGGAACCGGGGAACCGGGGAACCGGGGAACCGGGGAACCGGGGAACCGGGGAACCGGGGAACCGGGGAACCGGGGAACCGGGGAACCGGGGAACCGGGGAACCGGGGAACCGGGGAACCGGGGAACCGGGGAACCGGGGAACCGGGGAACCGGGGAACCGGGGAACCGGGGAACCGGGGAACCGGGGAACCGGGGAACCGGGGAACCGGGGAACCGGGGAACCGGGGAACCGGGGAACCGGGGAACCGGGGAACCGGGGAACCGGGGAACCGGGGAACCGGGGAACCGGGGAACCGGGGAACCGGGGAACCGGGGAACCGGGGAACCGGGGAACCGGGGAACCGGGGAACCGGGGAACCGGGGAACCGGGGAACCGGGGAACCGGGGAACCGGGGAACCGGGGAACCGGGGAACCGGGGAACCGGGGAACCGGGGAACCGGGGAACCGGGGAACCGGGGAACCGGGGAACCGGGGAACCGGGGAACCGGGGAACCGGGGAACCGGGGAACCGGGGAACCGGGGAACCGGGGAACCGGGGAACCGGGGAACCGGGGAACCGGGGAACCGGGGAACCGGGGAACCGGGGAACCGGGGAACCGGGGAACCGGGGAACCGGGGAACCGGGGAACCGGGGAACCGGGGAACCGGGGAACCGGGGAACCGGGGAACCGGGGAACCGGGGAACCGGGGAACCGGGGAACCGGGGAACCGGGGAACCGGGGAACCGGGGAACCGGGGAACCGGGGAACCGGGGAACCGGGGAACCGGGGAACCGGGGAACCGGGGAAACCGGGGGAACCGGGGAACCGGGGAACCGGGGAACCGGGGAGACCGGGGAACCGGGGAACCGGGGAACCGGGGAACCGGGGAACCGGGAACCGGGGACACCGGGAAACCGGGGGAACCGGGGAACCGGGGAACCGGGGAACCGGGGAACCGGGGAACCGGGGAACCGGGAACCGTGGAACCGGGGGAACCGGGGAACCGGGGAACCGGGGAAACCGGGGAACCGGGGAACCCGGGGAACCGGGGAACGGGAACCGGGGAACCGGGGACCGGGGAACCGGGGAACCGGGGAACCGGGGAACCGGGGAACCGGGGAAACCGGGGGAACCGGGGAACCGGGGAACCGGGGAACCGGGGAACCGGGGAACCGGGGAACCGGGGAACCGGGGAACCGGGGAACCGGGGAAACGGGGAACCGGGGAACCGGGGAACCGGGGAACCGGGGGAACCGGGGAACCGGGGAACCGGGGAACCGGGGAACCGGGGAACCGGGGAACCGGGGAACCGGGGAACCGGGGAACCGGGGAAACCGGGGAACCGGGGAACCGGGGAACCGGGGGAACCGGGGAACCGGGGAAACCGGGGAAACGGGGAACCGGGGAACCGGGGAACCGGGAACCGGGGGGAACGGGGAACCGGGGAACCGGGGAACCGGGGAACGGGAACCGGGGAACCGGGGAACCGGGGAACCGGGGAAACCGGGGAACCGGGGAACCGGGAACCGGGGAACCGGGGAACCGGGGAACCGGGGAACCGGGGAACCGGTGGAACCGGGGAACCGGGGAACCGGGGAACCGGGGAACCGGGGAACCGGGGAAACGGGGAACCGGGGGAACCGGGGAACGGGGAACCGGGGAAACCGGGGAACCGGGGAACGGGGAACCGGGGAACCGGGGAACCGGGGAACCGGGGAACCGGGGAACCGGGGAACCGGGGAACCGGGGAACCGGGGAACCGGGGAACCGGGGAACCGGGGAACCGGGGAACCGGGGAACCGGGAACCGGGGAACCGGGGAACCGGGGAACCGGGGAACCGGGGAACCGGGAACCGGGGAACCGGGGAACCGGGGAACCGGGGAACCGGGGAACCGGGGAACCGGGGAACCGGGGAACCGGGGAACCGGGGAACCGGGGAACCGGGGAACCGGGGAACCGGGGAACCGGGGAACCGGGGAACCGGGGAACCGGGGAACCGGGGAACCGGGGAACCGGGGAACCGGGGAACCGGGGAACCGGGGAACCGGGGAACCGGGGAACCGGGGAACCGGGGAACCGGGGAACCGGGGAACCGGGGAACCGGGGAACCGGGGAACCGGGGAACCGGGGAACCGGGGAACCGGGGAACCGGGGAACCGGGGAACCGGGGAACCGGGGAACCGGGGAACCGGGGAACCGGGGAACCGGGGAACCGGGGAACCGGGGAACCGGGGAACCGGGGAACCGGGGAACCGGGGAACCGGGGAACCGGTACATGTCATATTTCCCATCACCCCCCTCTCCCCGCCCCCCCCCCCCCCCCCACCAGGCAGCACACACGGCCGTGGTGGGCATATACTGTGTCTACTTCCTGCTAGCCGCTCTCCTCATTGTTATAGGCGTGTTTTGGGAATGCTCCAAACCCTCCTAAGTCTAATATAAGCCCCACCCCCATCTCAACCCCCCCATGCAGGCAGCGCACACAACACTAATGGGCATCTACTGCGTCTACTTCCTCCTTGCTGCTCTCCTCATCAACCTCAACCTCTCCTCGCCCCGCCCCTCCTCCACCTCCTCCGCCTCCTCCCTTTCCTCTTCCTCTTCGGATGGTAGTGGGCTCCCATCTGCTGCCAATGGCGCCTCTGCTCTGCCCCAGACATCGCCCTTCGCCCCCAAGCATCGATCCTTCCAGGTACTTGCGCCGAGGGCACTGCCTGCCTCTCCTGCTGCCTCCTCAGTCACTCCAGTCGTCCCTCCTTCCTTCAATCACATCCTTAGCCTCATGCCATCTCCCTTCCCACTCTCTCCCCTACGTCTACTCTCATCTCCCTCCCCTCACCTCTATTTCCCCAGCCACTTCCCCCTCGCTGTCACCCCTGGCAGATGAGCCTGCTAGCAGCATTCGCATCACGCCCTTTCCCTTGCTGCTCGTCCCCGTGCTGTCTTTGCCCGTACCCTACCCATGTCGCCCTCACTTCTACTGTCCTCTCCCCGTCTCCCCCCAGCAGCGGCACATGGGTCTGCTAGCAGCCTTCACCTCGCGATCCTCATGGATGCCCCTAGTGGGCAACGCAGCAACGCTCGCCTCCTTCCTGCTCGCACTCTCCCTCCTCACCACCCTGGCGCAGCACGACAGCGACCAACGAGCAATCTTCCTCATAGCACCCATCCTCCTCCTCCTCAACCCCCACCTCTCCTTCCCCTCCGCCTTCTCCCACCGCCGCCGCTACTTCCCGCTCACCCTCGCCTGCTCCGCCTACCTCGTTCTCTCCGTGCTGGTAACCGTTACAGCTGAAGCAGCCACGGCGGTGTATTACTGGGGGTGGAGCTGGGTAACGCTGGGTTACAATGTAACGCAGCTGGCATGGACGGTGGGCATGGTGCTGCTGTGTGTGCCCATGCACGTGCTTTTCAATCTCTTCATGTGGGACAATGTGCGAAGGAGTGAGTATTTGCTGCTGCTGCTGGCGCCGATGTGTGTACCAGCAGTGGTGCTGCCAGGGGAGACGCCTGTGGTGCGGGTGGTGGGGGTGCTGGGGTTGGTCTATGCGTTCCTGCAGCTCCTCATTTCACGGCACATACACGTGGCTGGCTTGAGACTCATATAGTGGACTGTAATACATGTTTTTGCTCTGTTTCATCCTGTCTATGCATTGACCTGCCTTGCAGATTATAAACCATATATGGTATGGTATCGTGTATTTATAAACATACACAGAACAAACACAATTGTTAATTCAAGTCGGATTCTGTACATGCAGCAAAAGCTCTCAGTCCACAAGCCACCTACCCCAAGCCACCTACCCCGAATGCACCTCAACCACTCCCTGCTGCTGTTGCTCCTCATGCCCTCTCCCACACTCGCCTGCACACCTTAGAAGCTTCCCTCCTAGGGCTCTGCTTCCTGCGTCCCCCACAGTCTCCTGCCGTCTTGAAACCTGCCACCCTGCAGCTGCCTGCATGCTGCTGGCGTCTCCCCACTGCACTGGACTGCACTGCACCCCTCTCCACCACACTGCAGCAGCACGTGGCGAATGATAGGCCAGACAGAGTGACCCAACACCCCCCTTCAGAGAACCATTCAGTTGCCAAAGCTGCTTCACCCAATTCCACACAACTGCAGGGAGCTGCCTTCAAGCTACTAGAGCCCCACGGGCAGGTGCTGGCCGGCTGTTACTCTATCAAGCTGAAAGCCGTAGTCCAGCAGCGGGTGCGCTTCCAGCTTGCCATCGTGCGCCAGACAGAAATCAGGCAGGTCCACTTGGTCCTCCTGTATGTGCTCCCATAGGAACTCCACCCGGCTCACACACACCATGCGGGAATACAAGCTGGAGGGGAGGGGGGTGGTGGTGGTGGGAGAGCAGGGAAGGAGGAATGTAGGCAGGCAGAACTGGGGCAGGTCCACCTGGTCTTCCTGTATGTGCTCCCATAGGAACTCCACCCGGCTCACACACACCATGCGGGAATACAAGCTGGAGGGGAGGGGGGTGGTGGTGGTGGGAGAGCAGGGAAGGAGGAATGTAGGCAGGCAGAACTGGGGCAGGTCCACCTGGTCTTCCTGTATGTGCTCCCATAGGAACTCCACCCAGCTCACAAATGCCACACGGGAATACAGGCTGGGGGTGGTGGGAAGGAGAGGGGGGAAGGAGGATGGAGATGTGGGTGCAGCTTGAGAGGGCATGCCGGGAGGCAGAACTGAGGCAGGTCCACCTGGTCTTCCCGTACTGTATGTGCTCCCATAGGAACTCCACCCGGCTCACACACACCAGAGGGGACGAGTGGGGAGGGTGGTGGGAGGATGAAATTGATCTAAAATGGCATGTGTGTGTGCGTGTGTGTGTGTGTGTGGGTGTGCGTGTGCGTGTGCGTGTGCGTGTGTGTGTGTGTGTGTGTGTGCCGGCATTAGGAATGGCAAACCAGACCTTTATACTGGCAATAGTGTGGTGACTCAGAGACTCCCCTTCCCCCCCTTCCGCCCTCTCCTCGTCTTACTTGTCGCTCAAGCCCCCCCCCCTGCATACCCCTCCCCCCTCACCTGTCACTCAGCCATGGGGACAGCAACCAGAGCCCGAGCCTGAGAGTCAGGCTCGGGTGTAGGATGTACACCGCGCCGACCCTCTGCTGCAGGCTCGGAGGGAGGCCTTGGAAGATGTCTCGGAAGGCGAGGAGCGGGTTGTCATTGAGAGATTCGCACTCCGTGTGGATGTACAGGACGCTGACGTGGCGGTCGGGGCCGGCCAATGAGAAGAGCTCGTGTAGCTTATAATGAATGTAGCGCTCCACGTGGTCCGTGGGGAAGACGTGGGCTGTTGGGGGGGAATTGGCGGGAGGAGTGGGGGGTGGGACGGGGGGTGTTCATGGGAGGATGAGAGGATGGGGAGGGGATGGACGAGCAGGGGAGACAGAGTATAGGAAAGAGAGAAGAAGGTTTGAGAGGGGCAGGAGCGGAGAGGCTAGTGGGGACATGCGGCGTCACCAGAAGGTCAAGAGCAGCGAGTGGGCGGGGCGCCATGTGGGGGTTAGCGAGTGGCTGTCACCTGGGAGGTATTTGCCGACGATTCGCACGACGATGCGCCCCTCCACATCCTCGCCCTCGTCCTCCCAGAACTGCGTTGCATGGATCATGGATGCGACAACATGGCAAAAGGAAACAGTATGGGTGACAGCCCTGGCCCAGTGGCAGGATGTCCGGATGGCAGGAAGGAGTGTGAGGGCAACGGGTGAGGGGACCGGCGGTGGGGGTTAGGCGCGGGGGAAGGGAACGACCGGGGGGAGGCGAAGGGGCGGGACGCAGGCGCAGAGAGACAGAGGCGCGTGCGCGCTGACAGAGTCGTGAGCGGGAGGTACGCGCGGAGGGAAGGATGGGGCAGAGGAAGGCGGAGACGGAAGGATGGCGCAACGAGGAGCGGCGGCGACGGGGGCGAGCAGCGAAGAGGGGTGATTAGGTGAGAGGGGATGAGAGACAGGGAAGGGAGAGGAGAAAGGGAGGCGTGGCAGTGGCGGACGCGAAGGTGCGAGGAACCTACGCGCGTCTCTTCGATGTCCGAGAAGTCCTCCTCGGGCACGAGGGCCGCCGCTTCGGGCGGCGTGATTGCCGCGAGTTGCGTGCATGTCGGTCGCGCATCGGACGAGGAGGTGGCGATAGATTCGGCGGTCTTGGCGGTGGTGGCCGCTGACTGCACTACTCGCACCTCCATGGCTCGTCGGGACGCGTGAAAACGATTCTGGCGAGATGACGGTGGGGTAACGGGACGCGACAAGAGAGTAATGGAATAATGGCGATGGACGGACTTCAGGAAGAATCACTACCTTCAAGAAGAACGGCGGAGGGTGCGAAAGGAAGGAATGACGTGTATCGTTGTCCGCGGTTGAGGGGTTTCTGGTGCAAGAGAGCAGACTCGCAGTTAATTTCTGAGAACAGTATTCATTGGCGAATCTTAACACGTGTAACGAATCCGTCCTGAATGTATGAGGGTTTCATGGTTCACGAAAACGAGTTACCTGTGAATGATTTTCGTACGCGCCATCCGCTGCCCGGTTCGCTTGGCCAGGATTCCGTTTCGTGGCAGCACATCGGCCTCACACCGTTGTCGCCAAATCGGCTTTCCACTGCCACGCAGACCAACACGACGTGGCGTTCCCAGTCTCTGACGTCGCGGGTCCAGGGGAGGTGACGAGATCTTCAATTCAGCCAATACATTTCGGCCAATACTAGAGACGTGAAGCAACTGACGTGGATTCCACAGGTAAGCTCCCCTCAGGTGTGGCAGTTGGCGCGTGACGAAGCTGCCGCCATTCAACCCATTTCGCCAGACGAGCGGTTCGGGAAATTACGGTTCTGAGGGATATATACGGGTTCCGTGTGGTGTCTGTGACTTGCCTCCCACTAGAGTTCATTTCCCAACCAGGTGGCCTGGCCAGGTCACTCGCACAGCATGCCAGCCAAGTCATTCCTTACCTAATACAAATGATAGCATCCCAACGACCAGCACTTACCGTTGTCACTCACCGCATTTAACAATCCTTGGCTGCCGCTCCTGCCGCTGCCGTCACCATCGCTCCTACGCACATCCGTCACCACGTGTACCTCCCCACCGTGCATTTCGCTTCGCGGATCCAACGTGTTGTCAGCGACTGCAGTGGACTTGTTTCGGAATCTATAAGCATCAGGCGCGCGTTGCGACCATCCTGAACACGTTTTAAGAGTCATCCGCGATCATGGCGACGACGGCGCTCTCCACTCTGCCGCCCGGCGCTTCGAGCCGCGCCTTGATGACGAGCGGCTCGTGCAGCCTCGCGTCGAAACAGAGCGTTCAGGTACACATGCTCGATCATGCGGGGACCTGTCAGCGCGCTACACGTGTCCCCTGGGCTCTTTCTTATTCAGCTTCTCGCGTTTTCCTGATTGGTGAAATGCCTCTTCGCCTCCCGCTTCCCTCACTTCCTGGGCCTCACCTGTCAACGTGCCCCTCTCCCTGCCCCTGCCCTTTCTCCTACCCCTCTGCCCCTATTGCCCCACCAGCATCTCCTGCTGCCCCAGGGCGCGCGCATTGCTCGGCGCGCTTTGACCGCCCATGCAAGGTGAGATGCGGGGTGATGTTGTGATGGTCCTACTAGGCGCGTGGTACCAGACCGCCGATCTGAACCGCCCTCCACCGTGCAGTGCCTCTCCGCTCTCGTCATTTTGCCGCCCCTCAGCTGCTCTCCCCGCTGCCTCTCTACACCTCTCCCCCTTGCGCGTAACGTTAACCCCTGTCGCCCGCATTCCGCGCGTTCCGCTGCTTGGCCCCCCTCAACTCTCCGCCGGTCGCCAAGCCTGGTTCGCTGCGCTCAGCCCTTCAAACCTTTGTCTTCCAATTTCCCTCTTGCCATTTATACCAATCAGCGGCATTGCTGCGTCAATGTCAGCCGTGCTGACGTCAGCGGCGGTGGTGGAGGCGGAGGGGGAGGCGCAAGCGGCGGAGGGGACGCAGGCGCAAGTCCGCAAGGGGCGGGGGAAGTCGGGCGGGCGGCAGAGAGTGCAGCGGCGGAAAGGGGGCGATGGGGGAGAGCTCGAGGGCGAGGTGAGGCCGTAGCCCGTATGTGGTGGGTAGAGGGTGGTTGGTGGGTTGGGTGGGCGAGGTAGGCTGTGGCTGATGGTGGTTTGGCGGTTATGTGACGGAATAAACGAACGGAAGCGATTGTGAGTACATAACACACAGGATCAAGCCATTAACGACAATGTACATCAAACATCCCTGTTCTCCTCACCTCGCCTCCCTTCCTCTCTCTCACTCGATCTCCCTCCCATCCCCCCCCCACGTCCCCCTGTGCGCGGCAGGAGGCGGCGGGAGTGCGGACGAACAAGCTGGCGTGGCTGGCGGACGAGGGCGTCATGCTCGACTCCGAGGTGCGATGTGGACCGTGGTGGGGTGCGGTGCTGCATGGTGGGGTGAGGTCGGGTGAAGCTCACTGCCCGTGTGCGCGCAGACACTGGGGTGGGCTATGCGTGCTGTCAGCCAGCCAAGGCACTGTGTAGTACTAGTCATCACACCATTCCACAAACGTTCCAGTTCATCCACAAACGGGTATTCCCACGCCGCCACTCGCTCATCCCCTCTTCCTCCCCCAACCTATCTCCCCCTCCGCCTTCCCCCGTCCCTCCTCACCCCCTCCGTCCTTCCCCATAGTGCGGTGCTCGTCCGTGAGGGAGGCGCTGGGGGGGTGACTGCTGAGTCGACTCAGAACTTGCCCCACACCCCCCACCTCCCCCACCTCCCCCACCTCCCCCACCTCCCCCCTCCCCCACCATCTCAGCGCACGTTGGCACGCGTGAATCACGCCATAGCGCGGTGCTCGTCCGTGAGGGAGGCGCTGGGGAGATGACTGTTGAGTCCCCTCCCTCTCTGTCCCCCATCTCCATCTCCCCCTTGTGCAGCGCACGTTGGCGCGAGTGAATCGGGCCATAGCGCGGTGCTCGTCCGTTAGGGAGGCGCTGGGCGTGGTGGAGGAGATGAAGGCCAAGGGACTCAACGCCGCCAATGAGGGTACGCCACGTGGCACACTTGCTAGCTGCCACCTGCACGGGCTGTGTCTGGGATGGGACAGCTGGAGTTGAGAAGGCACTGGTATGAGGAGGCACGGGTCTGTTGGTAATGTCCTTATAGCCGCGCTTGTGTGACGAATGATAAAGTCTACAAGAATCACCTTCATCAGATTGAATCTCTAGAATGCATGGAAGCTATGCACTAGCAAGTAAAGCATGATCCCTTGTGGTTTTCCCTTTCCCCTTCCCTCCTCCCCTTCACAAACCCTCCCCCACTCCTCCTTCCCTTCCGCCCAACCCCTCACCAGGCACGTACCAGGCGCTGATAACGGTGTGCAGGAGGCAGAGGCAGGGCGAGAGGGCGCTGGTGGTGTATGCAGCGATGCGGCAGGCGGGCATGGCGCCGGGCATGCTCACCTTCAACGCGCTCATCTCCTGCTGCCACCAGGCTCAGCGCTTCGAGGATGCCTTTCGCCTCAAGGTGCGTGCGTTCGGAAGGAGGTGCAGGGGTGGGGATGCTGAAGCACCTGAAATGCTGTGAGCTATGAGTGCCTCTGTGCGGAGGATACCATTCTGTTGGGTTGGGTGGAGAGCAGCAGCAAGAATTGCACGCCACACAGACAGAGCGACTAAAAAATGGTGTCCCGGGCGCCTGCGCGGTACGCATGAATGCACACATGCTCGCCCTCCTCGCCTCTCACCCTCCACCCTCCCCTCTTCCGCCCCTCCCTGTCTGCCTGTCTCCCTGCGCATCTGCCTGCCTGTCTGCCTACCTCTCCATATCCCCACCTGTCCCTCCACCTGCCCCCGTGCATCAGGCGGACATGGAAGCGCAGGGCTTAAAGCCCGACGTGGTCACATACACGTCGCTCATGGCGCTCGTGGTCAAGACTGGCCCATACCGCGGCCGCTCCTCCCCTTCGCAACGGTGAGTGTGCACCTCCCACTCCTCCCACTGCTGAGCCCCTCACCCGTTAGCCTCTCGCACTTACCGCGGCGCTGCAGTAAGTGCATGTGCCGCGTAGTGCATGTGAGTTGTGAGCTGATTGCTGCCTTACTAGAAGAGCGGACGCGGTCGAACGGGCATGTACTTACACCGAACGATGTGCTCTTTCAAGCGGGCAGTGCAGCCAGACGCCATCACCTTCAACACGCTCATGTTGGCTCACCACTACCCGCTCATCCCCACGCTCGTGTCCTTCGATCCCCACTTCCATTCCCACAGATTCGAGCGGGTAATGGAGCTTTACAGAGAGATGCGGTCCCCCGAGCACGCAATGCAGCCCGTCGCCATCACGCTCAACACGCTCACCACAGCTCACTCATGCTGCTCCACCACTACCCGCTCCCTTCAATCCCCACTGCCATACATTGCAGGTTTGAACGAGCAATGGAGCTATACCGGGAAATGCGTTCCCCCGAGCGAACAGTGCAGCCCGACGCCATCACGTTCAACACGCTCATGTTCGCTGCCGCCCAGGCGAAGCTTCCTGGGAAGGTGCTGGAGGTGTACGGCATGATGGTGGCGGACGGCGTGCCGCCCAACCAGATCACGTTTGGGATTCTGCTCGAGGCCGTGGGCAGCGGCGGGCGGCTGACTGCCGCCCTGCAGGTGTGTGTGTGCATCCCAGAAGGTGGTAGGCAGGGAGGGATGGAGGGATGGAGGGATGGAGGAGGAAATAGAGCACCTCCAAAGAAAAAGCATAGCAGAGGGGTGTGGGTTGGGGAGGGATGGATGGGAATTCAGGTTGCGTTGAGAGGCAGGGAGGGAGCACTCAAGAAGGGAGTGGGGGGTGGATGGAAATGCTGGAAACTCTACTTTTCCTCACTCAACCCCTCCCCATACTCATCGGCTGCTCTCTCCCCTGATCCCCCTGTGTGGTGCACAGGTGTTCAATGAGATGCGGGCGTCAGGCATCCCCCCCACCACCTCCACCTTCAACTACCTCATAGACGCCTGCGCCACCGCTCCCCGCCCTGACGTGAGTGCTCTTTTTATTGCTCACTGAGACGCCTCAAAAAGACCCACCCCCTGGCCACCCCCCTACCCACCACCTCCACCTTCAATCACCTACCTCATAGATGCCTGTGCCACCGCTCCCCGCCCTGACGTGAGTACCCGTGCACCGCTCTTTGAGATGCCTCAAGAGGGCCCCTTCCCCACCTCTCCAT